TATTTATAAGCGCACTTTTCATTAGCTTAAACAAAACTCAAATTGCTATTTGTTGTGTGTTGCTTTCATGGTTATATTGGCAATCTTTTCTTTTGGTGATAGTTCACAGGTTTCTCTATTAACAAGGCATCTTTCATCATATGAGTGCGTGTGTGATCACGAACATGCTCTTAGATTTTCAGTCACATTGATTGATTAAAACAAATATTTTTTTGGACATCGATGGTCATGACATTTCTTAGCGTTCCAATATTTTCTGTATTGTTTGTGTAAAAAATATTAAGCTAAAAAGTTCACAATACATAGTGATGGTTACTGATCCAATGCTTGCTCCTTTGTATCCATCAGAGGTGGGGGAATCGAGTCACATGACTTGACTCAAGTCGCATATTGTTGGACTTGAGACTTGCTTGACTAACATTGATAAAAGACTTGACTTTGACTTGGTATGCATGACTTGAGACTTGATTTGACTTGAGACAGATGACTTGAAAGGACTTTACTTTTTAAATAAAATATTTGCATTTGTTGTTGTATTGTACGGTGCCCCTAAAGGGCAATGAAGAAAAAAAAAAGATACTGTATCTCTTTCGCCCTAGGAAAGTTACCGGAGCGCCAAGTAGGAAGTGGAGCACACAGGAGACAGCCGTTTCATTGCAGACTGTAATGTTTATGTTGGGAAATGGCAGTGCATACATTATTTTAGATATATTTCGAACTCGGACTCTCATTCACTTCAGGAAATCGCTACAGCACCAGGAGGCAGCGGGACATGTAACTCAGAAGGTGCAGCACTAGCGCGCAAAGAGCTGTGCCTTTTACGCAACGCCTTCACTGTGTTTACTTTCATTAGAACAGCTAAAGAGCGTCCGCAGGCTGCTACGTGTTAACCACACACACCTCTACACACATCGAACTGCCCGATTAATCCCCCTATTACTCGTTTTATGAAGAAGATGTCCGGTCAGGGCGCATGAAGTGTGTGTGTTTGTGCTCTGCTCAGCTCTGCGTGTGTGTGTCCAACAGTGTTGGGTGTAACGCGTTACAAAATGACTTTTTGCTGTAACAAAGTAATGTAACGCATTACTAATTAAATGTGGGTAATATACTACCCGTTANNNNGTATTCCGTTAAGACCCACCCCATCTCACTCCTCGTGCTGAAACCTGGTGTTCACTCTCTGTCCTAAATGGATTGTTGGAGCTCGCCCCCCCCCCTGTGAGCCCAGTGTGCTCTGATTGGTCAAGCGACGTGCAACTGCTCGCGAGGAGCTGCTGTGAGGAGCAGACAGGGTTTCCGTGTCGAAGATAGATACAGTCAGAGTAGGGGCGGGTCTTCACAGAATACGTTTTGGGGAACAAAATCAAGCTTTTTAAAAGGCTAGTGGATTTTGGCAGGCAGTGAGTGCGGACAAACGATTGAACGATAACAAGAACGGCTCTCACCAAGTACGACTCGGTTCCCCTCGTTCATATCAAAGAGCCGTTCAAAATAATCGGCTCGTTCGCGACCGACACATCACTACCACGGCTTCCACAGAGGACATTTCTTTATGAATTTTTTGTCAAAGCACTTCAGATATTCATTGCTATCGGGATGTTAAGAGCATTCCATGGAATATAACAAAAAGTGTATCTCGAGCCGGTTTCTCAAACTCACCTACCTCACCTTTAATGTAGTTCAACAAATGTTGGAAAGAATGACCTAAATTGTGTTTGTTTCTCTTAATGGTAGTGATGTTTCTCTCTATATTTGTTCAAATATATCATATAGTTTGTAATAGTTACAACTTGGAAAATTAAATAATTTCTAAAAGATCTATTCAAGTTATCAGATATATTATTCATTGGAATTCATCCACAACTTAAATATTTATTTTACAATTGAACAGTTAACTCTCAAATATGTTGTTTGAACAGTGGGTCAGTAGGCTTGTTATAGTTGTACATTCTGCTAGAGCAGTGCATTAAGATGAACCATAGCTTCAGAGTGAAGAAAACATGAGCATAGAGCATTGGTTTATTTCTAAATTATATTCAGTGTAATCGTTAAAGGAAACAGTTAATTTTTAATGAGAGACAGCATATCTTCACTGCAAACTTAGTTTATTGCAACACCAAAAGTAAAGGGCAAATCCAGATCACACTATGGCCATTGGCAAGACGCATGTCGGTAAGTAACATTCAAAAGCACAGGTGCTAGAGCCCTTCAATGGTGTTTTATTCTCAGAGTTTGTAGATGTTTTATCTTCATGGCCTACTGTATACTTTCTTGCTTTAATTCTATTTTGAGATGTTTAAATACTAGTATTGTTTATTTCTACTCTTACATTTCTTCTTATGTGCAATGGTCTTTTAATGTTTCCCTTATTTCACCGGACAGGGGTATTTTAGCCAAGAATCTGACCAAACAGACTCCCCTCCTTTACAGAGTGGAGCATTGTAAAGCACATGCTATATGAAAAGTGCTTTAGAAATACAGCTTTATTATTATTATTATTATTATTATTATCGAGCCAGCAGTCGTAACTTCTCACCCTGCTTGTATCAGGTCACTGCCATTAGCTCACCAGTGCCACTGTGCAGTCGTGTGGTCTTCAGGGAGGAAACAGAGCCTCTCTGTCTTCTCTAGTCCTCCTGTGATGTCTGCTCTGGACCTGAGCTGAGAATCTCTGGAAATTTCCGTGCAGGCTTCACTCTGCCATCACCTTTTGTAACCTGTTCAGGACTCTCTGTTGTGGTTCAGCTTGCCTTGGATGTGTTACTGCACTGACGATGAGTGAAGACTGTTGAGATGATTTTATGTCTGTGAAGAAAAGTTTGATTAGTAGACATGTTTTGTTTTGGGAAGATTACAAAAACTTCAAGGCAGATGCTATTTACACCCCGGTGTCTGTAGCTAACAATGCTATTTGCACCCCGGTCTAACAATGCTATTTATACCCGGGTGTCCGTAGCTAACAATGCTATTTACACCCGGGTGTCCGTAGCTAACAATGCTATTTA